ATCAACCAGCTTGATCACACAGAGTTCCGAAAGGGTGACGATTTGATCGTGCGCATCCTAAGGTCATACAGTGTACGGGAAGGCAAGTTTGTTCTGGGTGGTCGTGGAGTTGAATTGACGGATGAGGATATCAAGCTGTTGTTCGGACTGCAAGGTGGTAATGCATTCCTTGATTTGACGCCACGACCAAAGCCTGTGTCTGATTTTGTCCAGCGTAGGTGTCCAGGAACAAGCAGGATAACGGCCAAACTTGTGAAGGATTTGCTGATGGAGTCCTCGGTGGGGGACACACCGCACGATCATGAGGATACGGCGAAGTTTCTTTGTCTGTATGTGTGTGGGAAGCTTTTCTTTGCCACATCCAGAGAGACCATTAGTTGGACCCTGATACGGTACGTGGACAACTTTGACGCCATGAAATTATATGATTGGGGTGCAGCTGTACGTAATTTGCTCATGTGTTCAGTAAGGGACTTCCATCGGACACTGGAGAAAGTTACCGGATGCGTAGTTGCTTTAACGTTAAGTGTACAACCTGTCTGTGGGTAGTTAATTTATTGGCTAATCTAAGTTTATGGTTTTTGTTAAGATGTTGTAGTGGTTGTTATTATGGTTTTGTTGTTTCCTGCTTGTAGTTGATTATTATAACTGTGGTGCAGTTCTGGTTATGTGAACATACAAACATTGTGAAGCCGAAATATGGTCACAAGTTCCCCAGATTCCTCAGATGGGACGTTGGTGAGCTGCTATCTGCTTCACAAGGTCTGTGTTATATGCTGTTGTTGTTATGTGTGGTTGCACTGATGTTGGCTTGTAAAATATGCTGTTTTGGCTAGGTAATCACGGACGAGTTGATCGTACAGGCGCACGAAGTGTCAATGTTGGAGGGGGAGGGTATGTTGGGGGAAGGTAATGTGGGTCTGGTTGAAGGAGAGGGTGGTAAAGTGACAGGACTGGCTGTTGGTGGGACTGCTGAAGTGGATTTTAAAGTGGAGGGCAGGAGCCATGGTAAGCAGTGTAGTGAGAGCATACTTAAGGAAGACGTTAATGTGCCGTTTGGCATGCGTAGTCCAACCGGGAAGAGCAATTGGGGACATGTTGGTTCAAGAAGTCCTGATTTTATAACTGTGGACGCAGGAGACAGCAAAATTGTAATGGAATTGAAGAACGAAGTTGATAGATTGAAAAGGATGAATGAAATGCAATCAGTTAATTTGGTGGCAGGATTCGAGAGCATTTTTAAGGTGAAAGATGAAGAATGCAAGAAACTTATAGCTGAGAATGCCGAGTTACGACGGAGCCTTGCAGCCCTTGAGGAACAAGTTGCTGAGCAAGCAGTGCATAGTGTGACGTAACACTTTACCAGTGTGAATGTCACGGACCCTTCTGTTGACGGAGATGTTGTTCGTAATGGGGTTGGTGTTGGTAATGGACTGGACCACTGCCCACTATTGAATGTGGTGTCATGGTGGACGCCTCTCCCGTCGCATATGTTTCCATAGGTGACAACAACGAAATGCACGATCCCATCCTAGCAGATGACAGTGACGTTGTTGTTGTGAGTCCGTTGTTGACGGAAGGTGGCAGTGCTGTGGGTGGTATGAACTCCTTTGTACGTAACATCAAAGGTAAAGTGAGGAAAAATCTGAAGTTATCAGGGTTTGAGTACCCAGAGTTGTGGCGTAAGGGACGTGTGATGAACAACGAAGTGAACGTTTCGAAGACCGGGGGGGTTGGATGTAGTGTCGATGTGATGAAAAGCGGAAGTGTGATTGATGTGGAAAGTGTTGGTGCCGGAGAGAAAATTTTCACAGGTTTTGAAATCACGAATCGTAACACAGTGTGGAAGATGATGACGGAGACAGAAAAAGATGTGATAAGCAATGCGTATGATACATACGGTGATAGGTCAGTAACGTGTGTGTTTTTGGGTTTAATTTTTAAGGTGTGCACTACTAATTGCAATGGTAGTTTTTTGTACTGTAGTACGCAATGTTATTGTTGTTTATGTAATTGTAATGTTTTATGTTGACACGTGTGTAGGGCTGTAATGTGGGTTGGTCGAATTGATGGGAATGCAGTATATTTTTCAGACGTTAGATCACTGGTGAGGCAATTAGGTGTGCGGGGGAATATAAGTGTTTCCAATTCCGTTATGGGTCATACGAGTTTACCGAAATAACTGTTTTGTGAATATGTGTAAATGTGTGAATATTGGTTTTATTTCAATTCTGGCACTGTTTGTGGCAGGTTATTGACGCCTTCGCAGAGGTGCTGTCTGATGAGCAGCAAAGGTTGAATGCGGGAAAAGAATTTCCGGAGAACTCCTATTTCTTTAGCAGCATATGCTGGGTAGGTGTTTTTTAGGTATCCATTGTGTGTCGTTGTTTGTGGTTGGTGTTGACTGATCTTGTTATTTTGGTTTGTTGTGTGTTTGATGTGTACAGGACGTGATGAAAGGTGACAATATGGAGGCAAAATTCAAGTATGTGACGAGCAATCTACATGCTGGTAGGAATGCACGTTACATGCATTTCCCGGTTTGCCACCTTGGTCATTGGACGTTAGTGGTTTATGATACTGAGGACGGAAGCTGGAAGCACTATAATTCGATGCGGAGCAGGACCGGTACCGGCAATGTGCACTACGCGGAGGCTGTAAAACTGGTGCGTTGATTTGAATAATGATAGAGTTGACGAGTATTGGGATAATTTACGTGTGTTGGAGGTACATGTTATCCATTCTCATCGGGTTTGTTTTTATGGCGCAGAAAAAAATTGTAACGGACATTCAGCGGCAAGTGATGGCTGCAAATAGATTGGATCAGCTGGTTGGTACGCAGGACTTTGATATGATGGTTGAATCAGTTTTGGAATGCCCCCAGCAGCGTGCGGAAACGTAAGTTCGACGTGTTTTTATTTATTTATTCTTTTTAGCAAAAATGTTGATCCTGTTGAAGATTTCTGATGTGTGTTGTTGACTGACCGTTTGTAATGTGTGTTGTTGCAGCATGGACTGTGTGATTATTGTTTGCGCAATAATGAGACAGTATGTGAATCATGTTGATGTGGGGAGGTCGTTGGAAGGAGGCAACTGTAGCGTGTTACGTGCGGACATGGTGAAAAGATTCGTAGGAGATCCTATACGTGGGGTGATGAGCAACATGGGCCGAATGGTTGGGTGAATGAAGATCAATTACCGTTACGTTACTACGTACTACAACTACTTTTTATTTTGCTGCGTAGATTACAATTTCGAAATAGTTTTTGGTTGGCAGTTGCAGTAGATACTGTTTATATTTTGTGTGTTGGTTTTATGGTTTTTGCATTGGCTTGTGGTATATAACGTCGCTTTTGTCATGGATAGTTTTGGTTAAGCTTCAATTAAATTATGCATGGATTATATACAAATAAAAACTAGTACGTTACTCCGTTTATCAACTGTGTTGAATTATAGTGATCAATGCGCACGTTTGAAATACTGAGTTACTGTTGGTTGTTTTTTGACAAAGTGTTATGCATTTATGTCCTGGTTATATGTATGTGTGTTTGCATTAATCTTATTCGTGAATGTGTGTGTGGCGTGTTGTACGTGTATGTGGTGGGGCAGCACGGATGCATCTGTTGATATTAATGTGTTGTCGAAATGGGATTTAGGTTGGACTGATAGAGTATTGTAATTTGGTTCTGGCTTGCGTGGTAGGAAGTGTAGTGGGTGTAGTATGGTGCAATTCTTGGACGGGAGGGGGTTCATGTGTGCTAAGTTGTTGATCCTGTTCGAAGGGGACGGTGTAGTGTGAATCTGTAGTTGCATCGATATTGAAATCTAAATTACTGGTTGTGGTTATGTTCGTCTTGCTGGCAGTGTTTATAGTGCATCGTTTCGGGTAGGGTGCGACTGTTAGTTGGTGTTGTGAATGTAGGTGTGTGGTGATGGTGTGAGTTGCAAGTTTTGTTTGATGTTTGCATCTTAAATATGTGTTTGTGGCGTGATGTTTGAACTGGTCAGCTTGTATGAATTCGTGAAAAAGGAAGTAATATTTTGTTGATGTGCAAAGGCTGGTGTGATATTCACCGCATGATGTCCACACGCTTGGGTTGGTTACCCTGCATGTTGTCATTCCAAACAGGAATGCAGATTGTGTGTAAGTCAGTATAATTTCAGCATGTATTTGCATGTTCTGTTGTAGTTGTAAAATACTGTAGTTCAGGATTCACATAAAGACACGTGAAAAAATGTTGTGGGAGGTATAAGCAGACATATTGGTTCAATACACGGATGTCAAAGTTTGTGACGGAACTACGTTATCTGCTGGGGAGATAACACGTATGAAATTAAATGAAGGAAACCTATTATTAATAACTGAGTGTGCCAATGATAGTACATTGGCTATGACATTGTCGTGTGGCGTCGCACACAATTATTGAAATCGAAAACAATTGAAGCAAAAATATTGCATCGAGGAAAAAACTGGAACAGTAATAACAAAGTATTGTATCGAATATGGCGAGGAAAAAACTTGAATAGTAATAATAGTTTAGAGCTGGTGTGGCCGGGCGGAAGGATGTGGTTAAATGGGTTCATTGCATGTCTTCCTGTTATGATTTCCCATGCGCCCACATCTGCCACATCTGATTTGCTGAACATGTTTCCCCTTTGACAGTATCCTCTTCTTCTTTGGTCTACCGGGTGGATGTTTCACGGCAGGGGGCTTTATGATGTAATCATTTGGGTTGAAAGGCGGTTGCTCGACAGTGGGAATTGGGAAAATGCTGGATGCGTAAGTGGCACGAAACTCGGACACATGGAAGTATGGTTCGACCAATGTGTTCAAATCCCGCCCACTCTTACGGACGGCAACCATCGCATGTGCGCAAGGGAACCCATTGAGCTACCACTTGAAACATGAGCAAGTGCGTCGTCCGATGTCAACAGTGACCGATGGGAAAGAGTGCACAGGAGAACCCATTGAGTTTCCGCTTGAAACATGAACAAGTGCGCTATCCGATATCAACAGTGTCCGATGGGAAAGAGTGCACTTCGTACACATCAGCGTTTGATTGGCTCACTTTCCATGATCTACCTTCGTTGAATGCTTTTTCTAAACGATCTTCCATTTTGGGACATATGGTGCCGGTCCACAGTTGGGAAGCGTCTCTACGTTTCGCCATTTGTCGCATCAATTTGGTCCGTATGCTGTCAACCATTCTTGTGATTGGGAGGTTACGGGCCTCACGGACCCATGAGTTGAATGATTCTGCAGCATTTGAGCACATTTCGCCATAACGTCGCCCCCTGCAAAATGAGTAGAACATATAGGTAAATAATTATGAACATTATGAGGAAATGTGTTGTGCATGTGGTTTTTTTGAGTAACATGTGGGACGGACCTGAAAAATGCATTTGCCCAATGTTGTGGATGTGCATTTGCTAGGAATTCAGATGCAACAGACCGGCCCGTTTTTTGGAATTGTTCAACTCTGTGGTTAAAAGCGGTAACAGTTGATGCGTATGCGCAATGTCGTAATTTGCTAACCAAACGTGCCCGATGCATACTGGTTGTGTAACGCAACCTGTCCCTTAAGTTCCTCTGCAAATGTTGTAGACAGAATGCATGTTCTGCATTTGGAAATACGGTGGGCATTGCCTCTAGCAAACCAAGGTTCCGATCCGATACGAATGTTAGAGGTCTGTCCCCATGAACCACCTGCGCGAGATGATGAAGAAACCAAGACCAGTTTGAGGTGTTTTCGGAATCTACCACCGCATATGATAGCGGGAACAAACCTGCAGATTTGGAAAATTTTGTAGAACTAAGTATCTACTCCATGGGCAAAGTTTGTGACAGAAACATAGCGCCGGGGGTTAATGACCACGTTAGAATATAGTACAAAGGTGCTGTGGTTGGTTGTCATGTGAATGTGGTAGTGTGATTGTTTAAATTGAAGGAACTAACCTTGGTTTCCGTCTTTTGCAGTGGCCGCAAGTAGAAAACCTTTGAATCGGCCTTTGAGGAACGTGGCGTCTAGGAAAAGCAGGGGACGGCAATGGTGGAACCCGTCGATGCATGCTTTGAATGAAATGAAGTAGCGTGTGAACTGTTGGGTGTGATCATCGTATTCAATGTTAATGTAAGTCCCGGGGTTGTGTTCCAATACTGCATTACTATACCAGCGTAACTGGTCAAATGAAATGGAATGTGCACTGAACAATTCTCCCATCGCTTTTTCAACACCGAGCCAGGCCACCCGGTAACTTATATCGAGCCCGTAATCTTGTTTCAAGTCCAATATCACTTCGGTCGGACGGGTTAAAGGTCTATCACGCACACGTTCAGATACAATGTCGGCCACAAGATCAGACCCAACAAGTGGGTGTGTGGACGTACGCACAGCCACGCCACAAATGTGTTCACTGTTCCATTTTCGTAAGTAGAAAAATCCATTTGCCTCCAATTTCCGTTCGTGCACAGACCACGTGCAAGACTTCGATTCGTTCATAGCACATATAGCCGTTACCCGAACGGAGTCATTCTTCAGAAATTTGATCTGGAACCCACATTCAACGGCGTATTTCCGTAGTACATTGCGAAATTCAGAAGCCCCACCTTCGAAATGTTGTCCAATGCGGGAAAAACCTTTTGCCCATGGAGCGGAAAGGAAGACTTTCTCCTTGTGGGGACAAAATGATTGCAGCAGATCGACTTCATCATCCATTCCGAAATCATTAAGTAGTGCATCCCCCGTTGTGCCTTGATCTTGGATTATCATTGGGTCAATGGCAGGATTGTTGTCATCCCGACGAGGATGTTGTTCAATGACCACGTCAATTAACTGCAACTGGAACGAGCGCGCAAGGCAAACCATATTCTTCAGGTCAACATCATTCTGTAAGGAGAAGTTGTGTAGCCGGGAATCTTATAGAACAACTCGAAATTTTCCGGCAGGAGTCCGGAAAACTTCGAACAAACATAATCGACAACCTCAGCAAATGTGTTTGACGATTGCAGATTATATGCGACATTCGTGGACCGGTAAGAACAAAGAAACATCAAAAAGGCGTCCATCTGCATATCGGCACAGGTATCAGTAATAAATAACACACGACTAAGTATGTGAGAAAGAACCATAAGCCGAAAATGGAAAAAATTGCAATAGAAATGCAACTGCAATGGGAATTGTGCATCGTTGTCAATGTGTGGTTACAAGTGCATAGCGAACGGGAGTACATAAAATTGGCTATTGTGTTCGTGAAGTCGAATGTTAATCTGTAAACATTAATGTGTCGGTGTGATCCACAAACATCGACGAAGTTGTGCATAGGTGATGGGGGAAAAACTGAAGTGTGGGTATGGTGAGGGGGGGATCCGTGACGGAAAATGAAGAGAGAACCTGTGTGGTATCACGGTGTGAACGTAAGCGGATGACTTTCTAAGCTGCAGAGACGATCATGAACCCACAAATGTAAACCCTAATTATAATACCTCTTAAATGAATTTTGACCCACTGTCAGGTTCCACAATTGCTGGGTTTTTTGTACATACCAATATGGAAAAACAGAACATCCCATATAATAGGTGAGGCCATTTACGTCCAGAACACACAAAAAAATTTAAAAAATGACTTATGGGTAAGGAATCCCACCTAATATGGAGTTGTCAATCAAAGAAAAAATCAGCAGGACCAAATGGAACACAATTCAACCATAAAGGACTTTCCGATAAATTTTTCTTAATTATTATAGGACCTATTAGATAATAAGTTCATTTATTAAGATTTATACGTTCCTCTTAAAATATAGAAATATATTATAAACTAATTACAATACAATTACTTAAAAGAGAATTTTTCATAAATTTCCTTATATATAAATACGAAGTTAATCTTTTTTAAATTTTAAAATAGTTTTTAAGCAAGTAATTAAATAAATTCCTCATTTCGTGTGTTTGAATGTATAAATAGAAACTTGTAATAAAAGAGTTCACACCAAATTCCACTTTGACTTAACGTAAAACGGTTGAAAAGTATTCACTAATATATTATTAGATTCAACCAACGCCAGCCACCAAGTCCGACCGTCTCTCTCTCTCTCCCTCTAAAATATGTTGGGTAAATTACACTCTGTCCCGTCTATATTTGGTAACTTATTTACTTTAGCTTTTAAATTTTTTTAAGGTTTTTTTTTAAATACCAAAACTAAGATAAAAAATATCACAATAATTATCACATAATATAAAAAAAAAAATTTATCTATAAATCTAATTTATCTATAAATATCACAATAATTTAATCTATTTAATCTCAGGAATTTTCTTTTACACCAATTTGTCTTATTGATTTTGAAAATATTGATTTAATATATTATTTAGAAATTAGATTTACGGTTATATCCTTATTTCTATTATGTTTTCCCTCTTTCTCTCTCTTCTTCTTCTTCTTCTTCTTCTTCTTCTTCTTCTTCTTTTTTTTTTTTTTTTTTTTTGTACAAGAAAGGCATGGTGAATTAAATTTGAAATTAATTTTTATATAAGGATCTTTTTTATTTGTAAAACATTTCAAAATGAGTATAAAAAATGACTTGAAATATAGAATTTTTTAAACATTTCAAGAGGATATGGGAGTTTTCAAACATTTTAAAAGAAGTACAATATTTTCTCAGTAAACTTGGGCAAATATATAATTTTAAATTATAACACTCTATTATAATATTCAAATGTAATACTTCAATAAAAATCGTTAGTATACTTTTATCAAATATAACACTTCAATATAATACTTCAAAAAAACTCATTCGTGTAAGACTCTAATGCAACATACAAAAAAATTCCTTAGTGTTCCCAAACGTAACATTCTAATGTAATACTTCAAAAAAGAGATGTGAGATTCTTCAAACCATTCAAAAAAGAGTGCAAAAATTCGTTAGCAAGTTTTGGATAAATGTATAATTTTCAAACTGTGAGTGTTACATTTGGAAAAAGTACATGAAATAGTTTCTAGTTTTTAGTTTTTAGTTTTTTTTATGTGTTACATTAGTATATGTTACATTGGAATGTTATGTTTGAGATTATATTGATTGGAGTATTACGATTGGAAAAAGTACACTACATAATTTTTTTGTGTGTGTTACATTAGAGTATTACGTTTGGGAAAAATACACTAAAGAGAGAAAAGTACTTAAGAAATTATTTTGGAGTGTTACGTTGTTATATTTGAGAAAAGTACATTAAGAAGTTTTTTAATATGTTATATTGGAACGTTACGTTATTAGAGTATTATATTAGAATTTTACGTTTTTGTTCGTAATGTAGAATTTGTTACATGAAGAGGAAAAATCCAAAATCTTTATAATGCGGATTGCCTAAATATATAATTTTACATTTGAAGAAACTCATTTTTATCTTAAAAAAATTTAAACCCAAACATGTAAGTGGCTACATTTTTGTGTAATTTTCACATTAATAGGACATTTGGGTTCATAAAAAAAATGAGGACTAAATAGTTCACAAGATCATATTTTGAGATTTATTGGTGCATCACCTTATAAAAAATATATTATATTAAAGTTTAAGTGTTTATGTTATAAGTGTGAGTTATATATAATAAAATATTTTTATATCACGTAACTGTTAATATATCATTTTTTGAACAGAAATTAGATTTAGAAGAAAAATTTAAAAAAAATTAAAATATAAAAAGTCAAAATAAAAAAAATTAAGAATTAAAATAAAAAAAAACCAAACATACGGAATTTATCCAAATATGTTTATGTTAAACCTATATATTACAATCTCAATCCAAAAATATATCACAGATAAATAAGAGCATTTTGATAACATAGTAAAACGTAAACTTTTTAATTTTTTGATTTTTTTAATCATATTTATCTTTTTATTTTTTTTACATAAAAAAGTTAAGAAGTTAATTTTTTATTAATTTGTCAAAACACTACATAGAAATAATAAATTAATATATTAATTGATGATATGATATAATTTTAAATTTTATAATTTATATAATATATGAGATTAATAATAATATCCTACTATTAATACTTAGCATACCAATTGATGTATATTTCTTTATACTCCCTTCGTCCCAAAATAATGGTCCCTTTTGGGGAATCTAACTTTTTTTGGTAGTACAATTATTGTACTTTTAAAAAGTTGGTTTTTCAAAATTATCCTTTGATAGTACACTTTTTTGAGAATATCAATGTCATAATTGTACTTTTTATATTATTTTTGCACATCTTTTCGTAATTAGCCAAAAAGTCATCCCAAACATACAAGTTTTTTTTACCTACCTTTTTAGTCAAATAGCCAAAAAGTTACTAAATTAGCCTGTTCCCAAACGAGGCCTTAGCATACCAATTGATGCATATTTCTTTATACTCCCTTCGTCCCAAAATAATGGTCCCTTTTGGGGAATTCAACTTTTTTTGATAGTACAATTATTGTACTTTTAAAAAGTTGGTTTTCCAAAATTATCCGTTGATAGTACACTTTTTTGAGAATATCAATGTCATAATTGTACTTTTTATATTATTTATGAATTTAAAAGAAGGGCAAAATGGGAAATTTATATTATTTTTGTACTTGATTTTTGAAGAGGGACTAATATTTTGGAACAATAAAAAATGAAATAAGGGACTAATATTATAGGACGGAGGGAGTATATAGATGCCTAATCTAACAATAATTACGTAAATGTCTCTCCAAGCAAAATCTGTTACGTATGGACAAGGTCAAAAAACCATCCATCACAATCAAATTTCCGTGGAGATAGATAATTTATTGGATAATAAATTTTGCAAAATTTTAATATTCCAAATTACTTACCTTTTTTTTCTCTATTTCGTTTCTCTCTCAACCATTAACAATCCTCCAAAAAGTCCAACCCACCCTCGTCTCCTCTCTCTCTCTCTCTCTCTCTCTCTCTCTCCAATTAGTTTCTCAATCTAAATCAACCACCCTTCTACTTTCTCTCTCCTCCTTCTTCAGCCCCTATATAAACCCCTTCACCTATCCTCTTTTACTCTCTCTTCTCTCTCTTTTCTCTCTATATATATTCTCTCTCTATATATAGTCCTGTGTATATATATACATTGATTGATTGATCGATCATGGCGCCCAACAATGGAGTAGCGTCGTCAGGGAGTCTGATCGTGTGCTTTGGGGAGATGCTGATCGACTTCGTGCCGACGGTGTCTGGAGTGTCGCTGGCCGAGGCGCCGGGATTCCTCAAGGCTCCCGGCGGAGCTCCGGCGAACGTGGCGATCGCCATCACCAGACTCGGAGGGAAGTCGTCGTTCGTCGGAAAACTCGGCGACGACGAGTTCGGCCACATGTTGGCCGGGATCTTGAAGGAGAACGGCGTCTCCGGCGACGGCATCCTCTTCGACAAGGGTGCCAGGACTGCCCTCGCCTTCGTGACCTTGAAAGCCGACGGAGAACGCGAGTTCATGTTTTACCGGAACCCTAGCGCCGACATGCTCTTGACTCCCGATGAACTCAACCTCGAGCTTATCAGAAAGGTATGCCCTCTCCCTCTGTCTAGAATATCCTTGTGATTCTGAAATCTCAGTTTTTTTTTTTTTTTTCTGTCTAGAAATTCCGACCTTTTCGTAAATTTGTTATGAGTTAATCTCACGCGCCATGAATGGCGTTTCGGTGAATTGTTTTGTAATTTAAGGCAAGTGGGGCCAGGATTAAAGATCAGCGTGTCCTTTGGCACCAAGGATCTCTCTAGAGTGAAATTTTCTTAAAGTTTCCTAGAGTACTACATTGTGTGATTGAGATTTACTTGCTCGCCCTTTGGGTCCACCTCACTCTTTTGAATCTCTGGATCAGACTGTCGGTGATGTGGAATGAAATTTAGGACATGTTGCGTGTGATTAATTACGGAGGTCAATCGAGAATAAATATTTAGATCTAACGGTAGATGTTGATTGGATCAAGTTTGTGATGACGTGGCAGTTGACGTCTCCGAATATAGAGTTATGCGAGGACTCAAAATGAATTACTTTCATATGAATAAAAAAAAAATGAATTACCAAATATTTTATCTGAGTTGTGAGATTTGTATAGATCTCACATTTATGTAAGAAGTTTGATAAAATATTTTAATTTATTTGGTAGGTTTTTGGCATATTTTAAAAAAAATCAAAAAATAATTAGACTTTTTTGGTAAAAAAAAAAAAATGTCCATCATAGTGCATTGCACGAAATCTAAACAATATTTAATACCATTAGGGCATGTTTGATTGGATAGATTAGAGTATGAGATTGAGATTATTAATCCGTGGATCCAATTATCTTATGTTTGTTTTAACATTTTGGTTTAGTATTATTAATCTAATGGATAATTAATCCAATAAATTTGTAGGATTATTAATAATGGGGTAGGGGTAGGATCACACTAATTTAATAGAATTATTAATATTTCACTATTAATTTTGTGAATTAAACATGACCTTACAGTGTAGCACAGTGCACTGCACGGAACCAGCATAGCAAAGGTGGGAGGGAAGGTAATTTTGTTAGTTAATATAATATTTTAATATATATTTTTTCGTAAAAAATTAAAAATTAATTTTAAATATATATATTTTTCTCTATTTTTTTAATTAAAAAGTTAAAAAATACAATTATATAAGTTCATTCTAAATAACCCCTTGGATCCATAGCATTTTTCCGAATTATATCCCCCAAAATATTTAGAAATCGATTAGGAGCCGGATAAGTTTCGAATGGGGTAAATTAATTTTTTTTTATTTTTATAGGTGCAGTGAAAGTGAATGCATCGTAGTAACTGAAATTTATAGGGATTTAAATGCTCTGTTGTGTATAAGTTTGGTCAATGTGGTGGTGCTGGGCCCATTTGTCTTTGACTGTTAAGCGCTGTTTGGCAACAATTTTTTAAGTTTTTTTTGTTGGGACTTTTTGATTTTAAATCCAAATACCACCATCAGCATTTTTTATGGTGCTTTTATTCTATTTATTTTTGTTTGTATAACCATTTAGTTTTTTAATTTGACTTTCACGGGGTTAGGTAGCTACACGCATGCATGACATTAAAAAATAAATTGGGTTACTTCTTGATCTATATTCCGAAATTTAATACTACTTTTTTTAATATTAATATATATGTATATATATAATACTATTTATGTGTATTGTTAAATTTATAACATATAAATTTTGATTTTGATTTAAAAGTATATATGATATGTTGATTAAGTGTAATAATTTTATTTTTTAAATAATTCAATAATAAAATCTATTTGGGATTCGGAGAGATGGCTTGTTAGCAATCTCGGCTCAGCTTGGTTTATTAAGGACTCAACTCGGCTCAGTTGTTTAGGTAAATAAACGAGCTCGAACTTAATTTTAGGTTCGTTTAGTAAATGAGCAGAGTTCGAACTCAAATAAACTCGACTTATTTATTTTTATTTAAATTATGAAATAAATATATTATTTATATGTTAATAATATAAATAATATTGTTATTTACTTTTTTTTTATTAACTAATATATAAATAAATAAAAAATCATAATTGAGCTTCGAGCTTGACTGTTCAGTTAACAAACGAGCCGAGTTTGAGCCCCATCAAAACTCGACTCATTTGCAGCTCTAGCTTCAGGACACTACCATAGTATAGAAAAATATAATTTTAAAAATATTTATTCATTTTTTATAATACAAATTTGATTTAAATATATAACTATTAATGCCTGATTGTCTCAATTTTTTGTATGAATATTTTACTCAACGAATTTTAAAAAGTAAATAGTTTTGGAGCACCAAAATCGGTCCTAAATCTAAATGCTCTCTCACGTTGGTCCGAACCCATAACATATTTTGTCTTATTAACTATTTTAGACTATTTTATCTTTTTATAAATTTTATCCTCAACTAGGCTATTTTTTTTTTTACCAAACACCACCATAGTATGTGTCTTTGGTATGTTAGAAGAATGGGATCACATGATATACTACGGTTCCATTTTAAACTAAAAAGCAAACGTACAATTTGCTGCATTGATTTGTGCTGCTCTTCACGTGCTTTCTGAGTTCTTAACATTCGGAGATTCCGTCTAGTGTTTAGGCCCATTATAATATTGGATATTATAAAGATAAAAAATAATTTTTTATTGAAAGAGTGATTAATTAAAAAAAATAATATAATTTTTACAAATATAATTTTTTTTGTTCTCTTTTTAGTTATATAAAAAGGAAATTATTTATATATTTATTTAGTTACAAAGGTTAAAACAGTATACATTAATTAGTAATTACTAATGCAGCTTCTATGATATTATTGATTATGAAGTGAGTCTTATTTTATAGTCTTCAAAATTTTATTATTATATGACACATTTATTAGTAAAAAAAAAATTATAAAAAATTATTAATTTATATAATGTAGATATAGTGCTAAGAGCTTCATCTAAGATATATTTAAAATAAGAGTACCACCACTTGCATATATAAATCACTGTAGGACTTGCGACATTTGGGGCTACCTAACACCAAAGTGGTTCATAGTTATTTTGACTGGTGGTGGGGACTGTTTAGAACAAAGCTTTATACAACTACTTCCCTCATGAATTGTGATGATTACGATTTTTGACCAATAGCAAGATGGGGCCAATGGACCAGGGTGTAATATTTTCACTTTCAAGATATTCATTTGTTTTTAATCACAAAAAGAATGCTTTTAAATTGTAGCTGTACTTCATACTTTTGTACCAAATGCATTGTATTAGTCTGAGAGTTTTGTCATACAAATATGAAGAAGATTTTATTGATCGACTTGGTTTACGTATTTATTTATTTTTAAATTTGTGTTAATGCTTATTGTAGGCTAAAATTTTCCATTACGGATCGATAAGCTTGATCGTGGAGCCTTGCAGATCGGCTCATTTGAAGGCAATGGAGGTGGCAAAGGATGCCGGTGCCCTGCTCTCTTATGATCCCAACCTCCGGCTGCCACTATGGCCATCAGAGAAGGAGGCGCGTGAGCAAATCATGAGCATCTGGGACAAGGCAGAGGTGATCAAGGTCAGCGATAATGAGCTTGAATTCCTTACTGGCAAGATTGATGATGAATCTGCAATGTCCCTCTGGCACAACAATTTGAAGCTCCTCCTTGTCACTCTTGGCGAACAGGGTTGCAAATATTACACTAAGGTCAGTCACCATTTGCTCTCTTCTTATTCAATATCCATCTCTAACTGCTGTTTGACAATTGTTTTTTTTTAAATTTTTTTTTGAATCAAATAAAAAAAAATTGACGTGTTTGGTAATTATTAGAAAGTAATTTTATTTTGTTAGTGAGCAAAATTGTTTTTTTAATTAAAGTTTTCTAGTTTTTTGGAAGAGCTAAAAAAAGTCACCTTCTCACTAATAAGAAAACACTTTTTTAGTAATTTCCAAACATAACTTTTTAAATTAAAAATAAAAATAAAAATGGCATTTAAAAAGGCAATACCAAACCATCCATTAAAAACAGCTTATTTAGTACAAGGCAAACGGGGATTGTTGTGGGGGTAGGTGAGCTCCTTGAAACAATTGCATTCCTTTTAATTGAATTTGATCCTCTTTTATTGGCATGGAAAAGTAATACCGACGGCTGTGAATATGGTTATACGCACTTCACTTTTCCCAATAACTTGAAGAATTCTAATATAGAATAGTGATATACATAACAAAAAAATTTAAAAAAAAGTTGTAAATATAATTAATATAAATTCATATGATAATTCTTGATTTTGGCAATTTAAAGCAAAAGACCAATCAATGTGGGTTATATTTTTAAAAATAATAATGTCATATTGTTATTGTCAAAAAAATTATATAAACATTCTCTATGAATAATATGCGATGAGGATAAGGAAATTTACAATGAAGGTTCATTGCTATAGTTTAGTAATTTACCAAATCAAATCAAACCAAACCTTAAGTACTATCAAATGAGGTCGGTTATATGAATCATTCATCTTCATACGTTCACTGTAGTAATTTAGGAAGTTAAATTTTAACAAATTGAAATAATGAAAATTAGAATCTTCTAATTAAAGATTTTTCAAATTGTTTAAATAAATATGAAGCCAAACTGATTTTTTCTCTTTTGTTTTCATAAGTAAATCTTGTTGATTGTCATATAGGTGATCTGTTAAATCCGAAGGATCAACTAGTTGGTTTCTGTTCTTTTTTTACTCGCAATGTTTTTGAATTGCTGAACTTAGTTTTTTCAAATTATTTTACAAAAAAGAAAAAGAGTATTAGACTATCAAACTGCATCATGTACTCAAATTCAGTATGATATGTTGGAGAAAGGGTGAATTATTTATGCTGGTTCCATGATGTCAACTACATCTATAATTAAAATTTTCTAGTGGTGTCCTCTTTTTGGCTTTTCAAGCAAATGTTTAATGTGCCTAAAAATCAGGGTGCTCTTTCTTGATTGCTTGTAGTTTAAAAAGAACAGACAATTCATGTGAGGTCCAATAGCCCAAGTGATATTATTATTTACCTTGCACTATTTTATTTATTATTTTAAAACCTCAGGGTGATGATGCATGAAGGTGGGTGGCTATGACTGCCAGCCTATTACCTTGCTTTGATGTCAAGTTTCTCATTTAATTTTTTTTGTGGTGGGATGGCCCATTTTAAGGCTTTTTGGCTTTTCAAGCAAATGTTTAATGTGCCTAAAAATCAGGGTGCTCTTTCTTGATTGCTTGTAGTTTAAAAAGAACAGACAATTCATGTGAGGTCCAATAGCCCAAGTGATATTATTATTTACCTTGCACTATTTTATTTATTATTTTAAAACCTCAGCGTGATGATGCATGAAGGTGGGTGGCTATGACTGCCAGCCTATTACCTTGCTTTGATGTCAAGTTTCTCATTTAATTTTTTTTGTGGTAGGATGGCCCATTTTAAGGCTAGGTTTGACATAACATAAAAAAGTCAAAAAGTTACTATTTTATTTAAATCATATCATCTTATTTAAGTCACATCATCTCTCTACCATATCACTTCAAACCCAATCCATATTTCATAAAAAGTCAAAACGTACATGGTAAAACTTGTTTATGACACCAGTTGTTTCAATGAGGTAAAACTTGTTTATGACACCAGTTGTTTCAATGAAAAACATTTTGGTTAGGTCATCTCCAATGGTTCATCAAACCTTGCATCAGATTTGAAATTTGGTGAAAAAGTTACTTTTTGGAACTCCAATGGTTTCAGCAAATTGGTATCAAAATGATAATGGAACAAAAAATTCATTAAAGTGCATTTTACTGTGCGTGACCGTTGGGGGAGACCAACCGCCGGTTGACCGACCGGTTGATCGGTTTCCTTTCAAATAGGTAGGTTCAAACAGGTTAAAAAAAAAAATTAGTCTTACCGGTCGACCCTTCCCTCAATTCTGCATATATTTTGTTCGACAGATTTGATGCTCACTGTTGGAGGAAACCGTATCAAATTGAGAAAATAACCTATTTTTTACTCAGATTTGATGAAAAAAGAAATGAACGGTTGGAGATGATCTTATGATGCTGAAATTGATAGATGGAGTTTGGTTTTGGCTTTTTTAGTAGTTTTTTTGGGTTTTTAGCTTTTTTTATAATTAAAGAAAATTGATGTGTTTGGAAAAGTACCTTTTTTTTTTTTTTGTTAGTGGAAATTTTGAATTTTTGGGGCCTTTTTAGTTGTTTTTTAACCTTTTCCCGAACATACGTTTGCTTTTTAGCGTATTTAGCTGAAGAGTTGCCTTTTAAGCTGTGATCCCAAATAGGGTACAAGTCGTACAATGTGTCCTTGTAGTGTTTGGAAAACTGCTTAACCTGGCCTTGAACAAATGAGAATAATTGCCCTTCCAAGACTTTGGTATTCATCTATCCATAAGAAATAGCTATGATAGAGTTTCATCTCTCGTCTTTATGCCCCTTCAATTTGTCTAAATGCTTGTATTAAATAATTGGCTCCTGTTTGGGTATGCAATGTAGAATTTCCGTGGATGTGTGGATGGATTCCCTGTCAAATCAGTGGATACAACTGGTGCCGGTGACTCGTTTGTTGGTGCTCTCCTATGCAAGATTGTTGATGACCGTTCTGTACTTGAGGTAAATATATACTCACTGGTATTTTGTTTTATTTTATTTTTTATTTGGTTGTTTTTTTATTGTTTTTGTGCAATTGGCATGAATGATTGGAAATGGATGATTTTTGCAGGATGAAGAAAAGTTGAAGGCAGTACTGAAATATGCAAATGCATGTGGAGCCATCACAACCACCAAAAAAGGAGCCATCCCTGCTCTTCCTACTGAATCTGAAGTCCTCGCTTTTGTTAAGGGCAAATAGGAAGGGAAAAAAATAAGGACTCAAATGTTTGCCAATTGTTTCATTTCTTGCCCTTTGCTTTTCTTTTTCTTTTTTACTTAGTTTTGTTTTTTTAGGAGCTTGTTTGCAATTGAGGAATCGAAGTAGGTTAGTTTGATCTCTTTGATTGAATTCTCTTCTTCATGGTTGTAATGACGAATGACTTTGCTTTATGGTGATTAAATAATAAGTTGTTTGCCTACTGGTTGACATGCGCCGTTCATCTTGGTCTTTTTCTTTCGATAAATGTATCTTTAGATAGATGTGTCTTTAGGCACATATTAAGAAGTTTAAAATGCTTATACATCTATGTGTAAATATGCATAATAAAAAATATCTATTTTTTAAAAATATTCCTAACATGTGTTCTAAGAACATATATTAATAAGACTCTCCCAATATATATTATAATAAATTAAACTGGATGTTTTTTTTATACATTTTTAACGTCTCCAGATTACCTATAATAATTTGTCATACAGATTTCAAATACAAATTTCCATTACAAAGCCTCTTGTTCTTTCTTCTCCATTCACAAAGATTGTATATTATTTCTAAATCACATACCAACATTAAACAACAAATAGATAAACCTCATACTAACTGATTGCCAAAGAATAAAACACAAGCTCAAGATTTACCAACATAATATGCCCTCAACAAAGAGAACTAGAAAAGCCAATCAAACACTGAAACAACATTTTCAAGAAGCAATCTTTCTAAAATAGTATGTATAAAACACCTTGAGAGCATTGAGTGCTGTTCATGATGTCAATTCCCAATATCTAACAAAAAACCCAAAATTACCATTCTTTTTTAACAAGTACAAAACAAAAACACTGAAACAACATTTCCAAGAAGCAATCTTTCTAAAATAGTATGTATAAAACACCTTGAGAGCATTGAGTGCTGTTCATGATGTCAATTCCCAATATCTAACAAAAAACCCAAAATTACCATTCTTTTTTAACAAGTACAAAACAAAATTAACATATTGATGGAATTCAACAGAGCACCTGAATTGAACCCTTGCCACTACCCTCGACTGATACAACTTTGGGTTATGTGCAATGCATTCATACACATACAGATACATATCACATGTATCTATGAATGTATGGACATTATCATATTTATCATCCTAAGATGTCCCTAAGATCAACCTAGATCAGGAACAGTGAAATACTCATCATCCTCATCTGAGATTTCAATTCTAGGCTTCTTGTAGGGCATGTTCAATTTGGTGGGTCTGTATGAAGTGGCATTGCTTAACTGTGGCACTGGAAGCTGAGGCACTTCAGCAAGAGCTAACGCCTCGCGAGGAACTTGCTCACCAAAGAGACCAATGTCTGTGAACCATTCTAGCTCTCCAAACTCAAGTTGTTCTTTCTGCATGAATAGATAAACATAACAATCTATGCGAGTTATGCATTTGAAACGAAAATTAAACCAACAAATGACATGCAACAGCATTAAAGCAATGGAACAATTGAATGACATGTATATATGCATGCCAGCGTCCTGAGATTTTCATTTATCGCTTTAACATAGTAATGCTTAGAGGAATCATGAATATATGAAAACATATTTTCAAGATGGGGTGGAAATTCTTTTTTCGTAAATCGATAAATTTTATGAGTCTCAAAACAAAATTGAGGTCTGAATTTACAAAATGATGTCCCAAATTTCAAAGTTCAGATATAACAAAATTCTAGGGATGCAAATTATCTCTGTTCAGTTTGTCACATAGTATATCACACTTCATTGGCTTTTTAGGCCATAGAAAACTAGGGAGCTCAAACCATTACATGATGCCGCCACAATGTTCTTGAACAAACTAGACATGTTTGGAGGCATACATAACCTAATTTTATTCTCTATCACTTGAAATTTAACATATTGCTAGACAACTATATAGGCAACCAATAATTTCTGTGTACCATGCATGTAATGTAATTGCAAAACTGCTGGTTCATTCTTTATATTAGCTTTCTTGTTCTCGAATCATTAATGAAATTCCTACGACACAGGAGAAAACCCTCATGTAGCCTCCATTAATCCTTGCATTATTATCTCCGAGTCCTCCATTCTTATCGTTTAAAAGTTATATCTGAAGGCTAAATGCAATGTATTAAGGCATGTTGACTTCAAACAATTATAGCTCCCTTACCTTATCAGAAGATTCAAAATCTGAGAGATGCAATAAGTCATCAACAGCCCACGATGGTGAAGTGAAGCTTGAAGATTGCTGTGTGGGCATTTTGATGCTAACTGATTGTGCATTATGATTAGGTGGCTCTGGCTCTGGCTCTTGGTTGCCCTTCTCACTGTCCTTTGTGCAACTTGAAGTGAGAGCAACTCGGATTCCGGTGGCAAGAAACCGCTGGTGGTTTGCAGAGAGGCTACTAGCACAATGGATTGGCTCATCACAATCCCGACAGAAGAGAGCCCTGTCTTCCACACAAAAAATGAAAGCTGCCTTCTCCTGCATGAAATAAATATAGAACATGAGAAGACCTATACACAGTGCATACTAGAAAGCCTAAAATAAGGCATCAGAACTCAAATTAAGACCACCGAGTTTGTAATTTTTCATGTATCTTACAAGTTGATTTTGTTCCCCATTATATGAGCATTGATTTTCCACTTCTTTCATAATTATATAAAATGATGATAGCAATTATGTTTTCTTATGTTCTCATTTTCTTTTCTTTTCCCAAGCAAGCATATAAACAATAGTCTATAATGATAACACTAAAGAAGATACACTACTGGCCATCTTCAGTATTTCTTCAATTATTTGCATATTCCTCAAATTTGTCCTAAATAATTCCATTATATTAATCTACAAGTTTATCTAAACCCTATTTCTTTCCTTATTTAGACTCCATAACTTCTCCCAAACCAGTACCATTCTAGTTGAGACCACATTTTATGAAATTATATTTAAATTCCAGCATCAAATAATTCTGGTGACATGGTTCTCTGGACCATCAATAAATTTGATCCATGTCACTATTTGGCAGGGCATAATAACATAAACTTTCTCAACAATACCCAATCCTCCCTAGCAGTTTGAGCTACTTCCTAAAAATTTAATTTGAATTGGACCGTGTTTCACAAATCTTGTGTTTTTTCTATGCTAGTAACATTTTTCGTCATGTATTACTAGTTTTTCCCTTAATTTAACTTTCAGATTCATGTTTCATCACTTTTTGGTAAAAGCTGTTACATGGTGTATCCCATGCACCTCAGGAAACATGTTTCCACGTCCGCTCCTGGTTACAACTTTGTCTGCCTTCAGGATTTAATTCCATCGAAACCATCAAGAAGTTTCTTCCATTTTTTTGGACTCGGATAATCAGTTTCCGCATGGGATAATTACTTTATACATCCAAAGGATCAAGTATTGAATCCTTCTCAAATTTCCCATTGCTTTCTGTACTACAATCATATTTGGCCTTGCAATTTTCTATTTTTAAAGAACACAGACAAAAAAAATTAAAAAAAAAAAAAGAAAGAAAAGAAAATTCACTTTGTCCCCTCCAACTATTACACTTGTTGTCGTTTTATCCTTAAACTATCAATTTGGACAATGATTTGATTAATTTGTTCATTTGCTTGATTTATTTGTGCACATGATTGCTTAATTTGGTTATATCTAGAGGTGTGTTTTGTTTATATTCAATATTTTCAAAACAACTAGATGTGTTTTGTTGCATGGTATCAGGATGTTTGTCTCCTTACCATTGGGCAAGATGAATAAATAACCTCAATTAGTAGCATGTGCCAACATGTGTATATTCCTTCAAAAATATTAACATCATTTAACGTTTTGAGGGGCAAGTTGAATTTTTCCCAACCTAAAACTACTAGTTTTGAAACCCAATTTTAAATTCTTCAATATATCTCTGTTTTCTTGGCTTCCAAACAAAACATAGTAGACTAATATGCTCAATTTTAGAATATGTAATTCAATAACTACCATTGGCAATCCTAATCTATGGATCACTAATCAATCACATAAAATGGAAAATATGAACAAACCAACAATCTAACCCTAGTAATAGATGGTACATATAGATCAATCAAACCCTACTAATAGATAGTATATATATACACAACTAAATTGACAGAGATGCATCAAAATAAAAAGAAAATGAGAATTACTTGACATATGTCACATGGAGGGAGTTTGTTGGAGAGGGATTGAAGGAGCAGCCTCTGGTGCTTGCTTGCAAGCTTGTTTGCTGCATGAACTTCTATGTCACATTTTGCACATAGGGCAGCCTCATCAGCGCAACAGATCACAGTTGCTGGAGCTTTCTCACACACATCACACTGGATCTTCATCTTCCTTTTCCCTTATTTTGATTCTCTTCACTTCTCTCTCTATTTTCAGCAATCTTTGCAGTAAAGGTTTTCAAGATTTAGGAGATACCCACATGGAGGAAGATGACAAAAAACCTCTAACACTAACCCAGAAAGTATTTTTGTATTCTGTGGTCTTTTTTTCCCAAGAAAATCTTGGAAAACTCTGTCAAGACAAAGAAGTGATGCTGATTATGGCCAAAACAGCAATATGAGCAACGGGGAGAGAGGGAGAGAGAGAGAGAGAGAGAGTGAGGAAGAGAGGGAATATATGAAGATTTTTTTTGTGAATGAGAAAATGGAGTGAGTGGTGGAGGATTGAAGAAGGTGAGGTGGTGAAGATAGGGTTTTTAGAATTCCAGATCAAGAAGAAAGTTGAAACAACAAAGCAGTGTGGGGTCAGCTATGCGTGGCTGTACGCTACCCAACAGCATTAGTGGCCACCAATTACTTTGTCCTCATTTTAGGGAAAATGCAGTGATTTAGATCCCTCAAAATAAAAATGTTTAAGATTTTCTTTCCCCTCGCTCCTTTTTATCCCTTCTCTTTTTTGATTGATTACTTTTTCTTTTATTTTTTTTTATTTTTCTTCTTATTCAATCACCACTCCCCACATGTGTATGAAAATTGTGGGGATGGTGATTATCAATACTCCCCCTCAAAACTCCAATCCTGTCACTCCATACATATGCAGTGAATGGTGATTGAAAGAGCAGTAAACAAAGAAAAAAAAATAAAAATAAAAATAATTAATTAAAAAAAAAGGGGTTAAAGAGTAGGGAAAAGAGGTCCCAATCTTTATTCTTAAAAAAAAATATAAATATCTCAAATATTTTATTAAATATCTGATATTTATATTTTATAGATTTTATATTTATATAAAATATTTAAAAATTTTAACATTATTCTTTATCGTTGTGACTACGTAAATGCTTAGCTAAGCATGTCAACTACAACCATTTAATGGCCTCACTGCACAAGTTAATAAATTAGCCAGATTTTTTTAAAAAAACTATAATTGAAATCAGAAAAAGGAAATTAATTAAAAATAAGTGAGAATTACTTATTATTTAATTTACCAAGACGTCTTATTTTCTTCTTCTTTTTTTTTTCTTAAGATTTGTTTGGGAAGTGGGTTAGATTTTTTATTTTTTAATTATTTTAGTTTAGAGTTAAAAAATCTCGTTTGGAAAAGATTTTTTAACTTTTTTGACTTTTTATGAGAAAAAGAATGTAATGATTATAAATTAAATGTGATATTTTATCTTATTAAACTAAAAGATCTATTTTATCTCCATGTAATTAAAATAGTCTCAAACCCAACCCAACCCAACCCATCCCATCACCCAAACAGAGGCAATGTAATTCTCTTTGCCGATTACTTCTCTCTCGCAACTCTCAACCTATCCCCATTCTTTTCAGTCATTTTAAACTCTCATTCACTTTTTCTATACACTATTTTTGCACTTACCACAACTATCATTACGTTAAAAAAAAATTACAACAGTGTAAAAGGAGTTGAGGTGTCGAGATAAAGAGAGACTAGAGGGGTTTGGGGAGTTTCGATGACTAAGGTTTTGATCAATTAGGTTGTTGAATGGGTGTAAGAAGCTACGGTAGATGAAAATCATAAGGGAGCTATAGGAGTGGCGAGAGTGAGCGGAGAATGGTGGGAGAGAAGTTTGGAGTAGTGAAGTAAGGAAGAGGAGTATGGAAAAGAGTAATGCTACGTATCATGAAATAAATATCATGAAAAACTTCATAAAACTAATCTAAGGGTGAATGCATAACATACAATAAAGTACTACAAACACTATAATCTAATCCAAGGGTAGAGAATCTTCATGAAAACTTTTCATGACATTGTTTTCATGATAGCTAGCATTATTGGTATGGAAAAAGGCTTTGGAGTAGCAGTAAAGGGTGGGGATACGTTAGCGGCTCAGGAATGTGTGACTGAAATTTTGAAAAATAGAAAAAAAATTGGTACACTATATTATCTCGACTGTGTAATGTACCCTTTACATAAAATACTTTATCAGAGACAAAGACGAGGACATTTTGCTAAATTGATTATGTGATTTTTGCATATTTATAATTAATTTTCTTATTCCTAATTTAGTTGTAATTTAAAATAAAATAAAAAATCATTTATATTCAAAGGTCTATGTCGGTAACTTGTTATCTCTCTCATTTTAAGTTGATATTTATGGGGGCCGTAGTTTTCCCTATCATTTTAAGTTAACATTTTTGGGGGGTTGAGAGAGACATTGTTGGTAGCTCAACTGTTGGATTGAAGGTATGTTAGGTTTATATTTCAAAGGTCTATGTTGGTAGCTTGCTATCCTTATCATTTTAAGTTGATATTTATGGGGGCATAGTTTTCCCTATCATTTTAAGTTAAACATTTATGGGGGGTTGAGAGAGACATATATCTTCCATTGAATCTCAACTGTTGGATTATAACCACTCAATTTATATAATAATGGTACAATGTATGAATGGTTCAGAATCATTTTAGTACCAAAAAAAAAAAAATCAGAAAAATAGAGTGTTGCTGTGCCAAGGGTATAGTCGGTCTATTGTCCCAAACAACATGGTTTCAAAAAAAATGCTACCATACCCTTAGGGAGGCGGTGTGGAAAGGTGTTGCTGGCCTTTTATATAGGTGAGTAGAGTTTGATTTTTGATGACACAATTAGAGATCTATTTATCCGGGGAAGCTAATTGTGTTGTACTTCGCTCGTGACTCTATCTCCTATGTTGGGAGTTGGTGCATCGCTTAGTCCGATAGTGTGTCTCTTCATTTGGGTTGGAGTAAATCTGGCTATAATACTGGAGCCTAAAGGTTGCAATAATACCTTCAAAGAGCACTCATTTTATTTTATTTTTTTTCTGATCAAAAAAAGAAAAGAAAAGAAAATGCTACCATCTAAAAGAAATTAAAATTTTTAGGGTTAATTACAAAAAAACCCCATAGTTTCACGTGTTTTTCAATTTGAACCCTAGAGTTTCAATGTCGGCAAATTAAATCCTAAAGTTTCATCCTTGTTTCAATGTGAACCCTCTGTCCATCTTCGTCTTCTTTCTTCTTTCAGATTCAAACCCATTTGTTTAAACACTTATATCTCTCTCATCATAACTCTGTTTTGCCTAATTTTCGCATCGTTGAATTCACCTCATGGCCTAATTTTCAATTCACCCCTCATACAGTTTGTTCCACCTTTTGTGCGTGCCGTCGGAGCTCCAAAAGTTGGTAAAAAATAAGTTATTTCTTTCTTTGGACAAAATTTTCATATTCAAACCGACATATTCAAGCCCTTGTATCTCTCTCCTCGAAACTTCGTTTCGCTTCATTTTTGCATCGTTGGATTCATCTCATGACCTAATTTTCATTCCACCCCTCATACGCCTTGTTCTACCTCTTTGTGTTTGCCGTTGAAGCTCCAAAAGTTGACCAAAAATAAAATTTTTTTCTTTTTTTGCTGCTATCATGACAATATTCTTGGCAGGGGAGATGCAATAGATGATACTTGATTGGAAACCAAGGTGCCCTCACTTGTGCACTAACCCATTTGGTTTTTGATTTTTATGGGTAGTTGTATACCTATCACCACTCGATGACACTGCCACCATTACCACCATCACCACCTCATCTTGTAGATAATGATGATGAAGCAGCAATGGTAGGAGCAACTCAGGTGGAGATGCAGAAAAGGAAGAGAGAGAGAGAGAGAGAGAGCGTTTATTTTTGGTCAACTTTCAGAGCTCTGACAGCATACAAAAAGAGGTGAAACAAGACGTATGAAGGCTGAAATAAAAATTAGGGTATGCGTTGAATCTAACAATACAAAAATGAGGTGAAATGGAAATTACGATGAGGGAGATACAAAGGTTTAAACATGTAGATTTAAATATGAAAATTTTGCTCAAATAGAGAAAAATCTTATTTTTGGTCAATTTTTAGAGCTCCGACGACAAGTAAAAAGATGTGAAATAAGGCATATAAGGGATGGAATGAAAATTAGGCCATGAGGTGCATCCAATGACGCAAAAATAAAGCAAAATAGAGTTACGACGAGGGAGATATAAGAATTTGAATAAATGGATTTGAATATGAAAGACAGAAGAAGACGAAGATGGACAGAGATGGACAGAGGGTTCACATTGAAATACGGATGAAACTCCAGAGTTTAATTTGTCGAAATTGAAACTCGATAGTTCAAATTGAAAAGCACGCGGAACCATGGGTTTTTTTTTTATAATTAACCTAAAATTTTATGATAAAAGTTATAAATTTTGTGAGTAATTTAGATAATTTAAGTATAATTGGAGTTCAATTTATTATTAAGCATGACTTTGGCAAAAAAGTTTGATTTGGAGGTCGGGGTTGAATAGGAGTGTAAAAATGGCCTGCAGCCTGTGAGTGGCCAGAAGCCCGCCCGCGGCTCGAGGTGAGCTGGGGCCCGAGCCTGTGGGCCTGGGCCTAGGCCATCATTTTGAAGCTCAGTCTGACTCGATTGGCCCGACCCATGACCCAACCCATTAGCCTACTTAAGGCCTACTCAAGGCCTAATGTCTTTTTAGTGGAAAATAATAATTTTTTGGTGGAAAAAATTAAAAAGACAAAAAAAAAAATTGGTTAGGTCAGCCTAAGCCCGAAGCCAGGCCTAGGTCTACCGGTCCGGCTCGCCCAAGGCCCAAATACCCCTAGGCCTGGGCCTTTTTTTTTGGCCCGTGAGCCGGGTCGGATTTACACCCCTAGGTTTGAACAACTCATAGTATAATTCAAGTTAGATCTAGTCAACTTTTTAATTCAACGGAAAAAACCCGAAGTGCACCATATTTTAAAGTAGCAAGCCTACAAATGATATTGATTCACATTCTAAAATATTTGATATTTCCATATTTTAAAGTAGCAAGCCTACAAACAATATTGATAGTGTAAAATAGACTAAATCACATTTCAAAATATTTGATATTTAGGCCTTGATTCTTCCGTTAATATTTGGATCGTAGGATATTGTCTAAATTTGTGAGACTCATCCGGAGTCATATTTTTATGATTCGAATTATTCATTTTGCAGAGTTGTTCATATATATCACTCATAAAAAAAAAAATTAAGTTGTTTCAATAATTGTAATTTGTTCAATTTATCGCGTTTGTCACAAAAAATGAATTATCTATTTTAAAAAAATATACTTGTCATCTATTTTTTTTTAAAAAAAATACGATAAATTGAATATATTATGATTATCAAATCAATTTATTTTTTTTTTATAAATAATATATAT